GCACAGAATGCACTCGTACAAACCGTCCTGATGCATCAATGTGAGTCAAACTGCATGTAACAATATGAACCGGAAAGATACAAACCAACTTCTTGCGGTCTTCAATGGATTGAAGGTTCTCCTTTCCTGGTTCCGGGAATGTTTTTTGTTTCAAATAAGGCTCGATCGATTTGTATTGCTTGTAAAATTGGGTGAGGTCTGCGACGCGTCAAAAATCTCTCAGTTTCTTGAAACTCTTAGCACCAACCGACAGCACCTCCCGCAACATACCAGGAACGAGGTCTTTTACGACGTAGGTGTGAGGAAGCGGGTATATTTTGACTTGCTTGCTTGGGTCGCGATCCATTCTGCTGAGGCAAGCAAGCGTGTTGACCCCGTTGATGTTCATGGCGCAGGAACCGCAAATACCTGTGGACATCACATAGCCCCACAGGCATAAGATTTCCACTCTCAGACATCCATGCCCCTCAATTGTCAGCAATCTACTCACCCTCACGGCAAGACCGACGGAAAGTCAAGGTTGGGTCGACTTCATTCTTGATTTTGATAATGGCGTCCAAAACCATAGGTCCACACTGGTTCAAGTCAACTTTGTACTGTTGCAGGCGCGGCTTCACTTGCGGCTCGTCAGGGTTCTACACGCCGGCAGGACAAACAATGAGCATCACAACAACCGCCGACTATTCACCCGTCAATCAGCATACCCAGCGGTAAACTTGAAAGGTCTTCATCAGCGGAGGCTTTGTAGCCGTGGCAGCCGCTGCGGGAGCCTCCGTGGCAAACTTTGCGGGGGCGGTGGTGTGAAGGGATGCTGTCAAGGGAGACTGGACACATGGGCTTCGTCAGCGCGACTCTTCCATTTTCACGCACAAAATTTACCGCACACGCACCAAAGGACTCGCCCTGGCGCTCCCCACAGCGGTTCTTGCAACAGTTCGGAAAGACATTGTCGAAAGAGTGCTCGATGACCTGCGTGTTTTGATCGGCGATTCGGGGCTCACGATGAAGGACTGGCGCACAGCGGGTAACGGGGTGGGGCTCAACTTCGGCAGCTCAGCGGTTTCCATGGATACCCCACGGCAGAATCACGAGGGCATTTCAACGCACCGTCCCACCACGATCCAGTTCATTTTATCCGCGAGACGCGACAACCCATTTCTTCATTTCCCACAGACGACAGGGCCAGGGACGACCACCACGCGCCCAGTAACCTAATGTCGGCGAAGTTCTGACGACGGGCTTTAACCTTTCCGATTCCAAAACCACTCCAACATTGATTGTTCGGGCACCGGACAGATGTCTCCTCGGCAGGCAAACCTTGCACTTGTGTTCACTTCTGGACGGTTGGGGCGCTGTTGGAAGGACTATAGATGCGAATGCTCTAAGCAACACTGCGTGTGACAGTACTGGTATTGAGACGCTGGTGGATCATTTTGGAAAATTGCTGGAATGGACTCTACATTTGTGACTATATATTCCGCGTGCGCTCTCGTACAATAACAAAAAAAAGGCTCGATTGGCCTAGATAGTGGTTAGAGCGTCGTGTATGACCCCGGGAGGGCTCCAAACTATTACACGAAGACACAGGTTCGACCCCTGTATCGGGC